AGTCTTTTGGTGTTGGGTTTTTTTTTTTTTTTTTTTTTTTTTTTTTTAATAATTCCCAGCACTGTCTGTCTGATATTTGGACCAACTCTCCCAGCTCTGGAGATAAACCTCTGGTTGTGAGTGGCCAGATTGTGCCAGACAGCAGTCGAGCTTGATCAGGGTCTGAGTTATTACTGTGTGTTTCGATCTTTTCTTTTTTTTTTTTTTTTTTAAGAAAAAAACAAAAAAACAAACCAAACCACATTTTTAGGAAAAAGCTAGGAATGCATACAAGATGCAAAACAATCATTGACCCCAGTTGTGCTTCCCCCACTGAGAGATGTTGCTTGACTTGCAAACATCTCTGCTTCAACTTTCCTTTGGGCCACCTGGGTAATCTTTAAGGACAGTGGCATTTACCTTGCCATTAACTGTATAATATGAAGGATGGAAACACAAAGTTAAAAAAAAAAAAGTCCAAATAGTTTAAAAATAGGGAAAGTCATTACTTATAAAAACTGTGATATTATTGTTCAATTTTAGATTATTCTATGAAACAGGAAAGCACAAAGGCCTCCCTCAGATGCCGGGTTGTATGATATTGTAATTATTATAATTACACATTATGAATTTTAGCATACAGATATCTTTCTACTGTATTTTAATTCTTTTTTTTTTTTCCCCTTTCTCCTGCCCGACCAAGCCTGCCCTCTTCTCTCCAACCTTCCTCATTCACCCATTCACTCCAGCCGACTTGCAGGACATTAACGGTGTTATGTAATTACAGAGATAAATGTTTGTTTAATAACTGTTGATATTCGACTTTCTCTGCTCAGCTCCTCCGGTTAATTCTGTTTTCCCATGCCCTGCCCTGCCCCATGCCATGCCTTCCCCTCCCTCCTCTCTGTGTTCGTCAGGTTTTTTTTTTTCTGTACAGTTTTCAGAGCACAAATGAATGTGTCTTATTTCTAATAAAAGAGGTGTAAACTCTAGCGATGTCTGCTTTTTAAAAGCGCCCCTGCCCGCGCCCCACGTGTGGTTTGCATCGCGCCCGGGTGCTGGGAAACACCTCTCCTGGATCTTCAAGCTGCCACCTTGGCTCTCTACTCTGGAAGAGCCATAGCCCGTGGCTGAACTTGTCCCACGAGTGCATCTTTTGCTTTCAGCTTTGTAGCTTCTTGACACCCCCAAAAATACCTTCCCTTAGGAATTCCCTTTTCTGTGCAGCGCAGCCTGTTTTTCCACAAGTATCTCTAACCCAAACTTTGATGCCCCTTTCCCAATATCACGTGCCGTGAGAGGCCAATATTTAACACGGATGTGGCAGCGTTACTGGCAGAGGGCAGTGATGCTGGGTTATAGTTTCCGATGGAGGCAGGGCAACGCTGATGCTACCCTGCCTGCAAAGCCAATCTCAACATTTCCTGGGTTTCCCTGGACCTCCTGCATTACCAGGGAGTCTGTGAGCAGGAGCATGGCTCAGTGCACGAGGCGGTTAAGGATATCACTCACGAAAGATGACAAGAAATGAGCGAGGGATTAGTCACTTCCTTGGTGATTACCCTTGAATGGCTGAAATCCTCCAGCAAGAAAATGCACCCTTATGTCCCCGACTCTGCCCCATCACCTGATTGACAGCTCTTAGGTTTATGGGCAGGACTGCAGGAGGCTTAGGGGTCTGGCGAGTCAGATCCAGGGCTGCTGCTCTCCAGAGACTTGATCCAAAGCCATGGTGGCCTGGTAGCTCCCCAGATGTAATGACTTCTCTTGGCCTGACTGAAATGGATATCCTGAAACATCTGAAACTATTACAGAGGCATGAGGCTGCCTGGAGGCTCTTAGCACAGTCCCCCTGTCCCTGAGCCATGATCCAACTTCTTCAATGAGCAGCACCTGATGGTGAGTCCCAGGGCCTCTCCATCCTTCCTACGTAGATGTTTCTCTCTCACCCTACGCATCCCATGCCATGATCCTATAACATTAGCAGAAAGAAGGGAAATTCTAACCACCAAGCACCACATGAGGGGATGGGCTGGGAGGGCAGGAGAGCCCAAACCCTAGATCACAGCCCTAGAGATGGGTCAGGAGGTCCTGCTGCTTTTCACCAAGGGGAGCTGGAAGGAGGGAGCACGTGCCCACGCTGATATTAAGAGCACTGTCAGAGGCAGTAGATGCAGGTCAGTGCACGTACAGGCGATTTCGGTTTGCGCTGTGGTGATAATGTGATGTGGCTACAAGCGAGAGTCATAGCACAGCTCAACTTGGAAAAAGCTTCCTGAGGTTCCCCTGAACTGTCCTACGACCCCAGTCACCCCAAGCTGTAGCCATGGGGTGAACAGAGAACACCTGTACATATAGCATGATCTCACAGGGAGGAAGCACAAGCCACACTGAGGTAGTGGATAAATGTTATGTTGCACTTGTAAGGAATGACACTTCCTGGGAAGTAAGTGTAGAGGCTTGTGTTGCTACGCTGGGAAAATTGAGAAGAGTCTGAAAACAGAAGAAAATTAAAAGCATTACCCTTTGGCTGCTGTGATGGATGCAGTCAATCCCATAACCAATCTGGCAGTATTTTGCTTCAGGCTCCAATGGAGGTAAAGGTCTGAGCCATAGCCAGGCCAAGAACTCCCTTAGGAAATCCACAAAGGAACAGCGACACAGTGAGCACCAATGCATATGAGCTTGGAACACGGATCATGCAAGTTATAGATGAATAGTGGGTGGCTTTTCCAAGACTCATTTATCAAGGAACAAAGAAAGTTATGGGTACAAGGACTCTTGTGCATGCCTTTCCCACTGTGTGCAGTTTGACTATGAGCCAAACACTTAATCCTATAAATATGACAGCCTAAGTCAGCCTTCTTTGAGCTCTTCCTGAACAGCAACGTGGTTGCATGGCGGTGATCTCCCCTTGAGCTGGGCCACCTCGCAAGGTTACTCCTCAAGGCAGAGAGACCTTTTACCAACCACAGATCTTTGGATGAGCCCAGTTTGAGTTGTTTCTGAATTGCACTGGGCTGTATTCCAGGTAACTCTCCCCTTGAGTGGGGACACCACTCAAGGTTTGAGATTTAGAGACCAAAGACTTAGAAATCCTTCTTTGCCCAAGGCAGAGAGATCCCTTACTCACAACAGATCCTCGGTAAGTGACCAATAGCGTGCTGAATTAATACTAATGCAAAATTACTAATACATGTGGTTACTCAATAGTAATTATTATAAACTCAGTATAGATAATTCCATTAGACATAAAACCTTGTCCAAGTCTAAGACCAAGACTGGACCTCGCTGCACTTAGGCTCCATAAGTAGTTTAGAAAGCAAGGGGGTCCATTCTGAAACTCATGGCTCAACAGAAGGGTTTCCCTTTACCCTTTTCCATCTCCGGTCTCTGTGTAAACCTTTCTAGCTTGATTCTACCTCGATTTTTTCTTTGTATGTTTCTTCCATGTAGAAGTGAGTTCCATAAAATTCCACAGAGTGAACCTTGCCATCAAACTTCCTTCAGTCTCACTTTTACACCGTATTAAACCCACTTTTGCTAACATCTTTGATAGCGGTCTTTTCAGCAATCTAAGTCACCCATTTGTGACAGCTGCCCGCATAGGAAAAGGTCTATATGGAGCAAGATGCTGCTCCTGGAAGATTCAGGACCAGGACAGGAGGTTACTCTCTGGTCTATCTGTTTTGTGGCTGAAGGGAGCGCTTGGGCTCACCACGCTGCTATCTGAGGTGTCCAAGATGAGGTAGGATGAATCTGAGCCTGAAGTGATTATCTGTTACGGCGCTCCTGTTGTGGCAAGATCTAAACAGAGGCAAAAAGAAAGAAGATGGCTGTTGAGTATTTTTCTTCTTATTTTTCCCAACCCAGTCCTCCTAGGAAGAGGTCAGTGCCTCCCCAGGGATGCGTCTGCTTTGCAGCTTTCAAGCAAAACACCTTCAAAGCATTTTTCAACAGTCTTCTGAGTAAGGAGTCCTCAGGGGATCCATGCGGAGGACCTTTCGAGGTGCTTGCTTGTTCACACCTATTTTCATTCATGATTTTCAAAAAAAAACCTTTTATGCTGGCAAGCCCCTTGGGTAGGCCAATTTCCTTCAGGATGACAGCATGGAAGACAAGCACAGTTCCTGTACAGGACTACATGTTCCAACATGCAGAACTACATGTTGGATGGTCAAAATCATTCCTTCCTGGCCATAAAAAACCCTGAGAATCCTTTTAGGACATGATGCTGAATAGTGCCAACGAAGAAACTCACTGCTGATTGCATGCACATCGCGTTTGAGTAATGAACATCACTCATTACACTGGCTCAGTAACAAGTCGAGTAGATGTTATGGCAGTAACCCCGAAAAAGGGACCAGGGGGAATGAGGTAGTCAGGTTTCAGTCAGACTTTAGTTTCTTCACTGGTCATCTCAAGAAAAGTCAGCCATGCAACCTGAACTGCTTTCCCTCACCCTAACAACTCTTTGTGGAGCCTCAACCACAGGGACGTGGGTGTTGTTCATCTCCTGTGTCCCCGAGACGCTGTGGCTTTGGCATGTTAGTGAGGACCAATGTGGCTTCAGAAGAGAGCATGAAGCCACTACAACAGTGGCATCTTGAGAGAGAAAGTCCCAAGATCACAGCCCTGGGTCAGTTCTCCCACCAGCTCGCTGCTTCACAGCTGTTTGCTGCTTTGAAAAGCAACATCTCTTGGCTCCTGTGGGGTTTGCAAGAGCCCCTTTAACTTCTAAATTGGGAAAGAAAGGGCAGATCTTGGGGAAACAGAGGACAAGAATCACTCTCAGCCTGTGGGGAGGAATCATATGTCGTTTGGGTGGGTTTGTTTCCTTTTTTTCCCCTTGCAGATTTCATTCAGGAAATAAACCTGCACCCTGGTTTGTGCCAGACGACTCCACATCTACAGAGACACACCCGGGCTGAGTCCTCACCACCACCGCTT